TATATTAAATTTCACAATCGAAGTCAGGATGGATAACCGGATTCTTACTCGTTTCCTCTGCGTATAAAGGATACTTTTGTGACAAGCAAATTACCCGGAAAGCACATGTTTCAAGCAGGACAATGTTAAGATTAGTAGGAAGCTCTACGCCGACGCGCGTCAACCCAAGCAACCGGTATGAACGTGTGCTTACTGGACTCGCGCAGTCGCGCTGCGCTTGATGTCTAGCCGCTGTGCTGTACAAATAAGCCGAGCCGCTGTCGAAAATACGTTCGCTGCGCTTGATGCCTAGCCGCTGTGCTTTACAGTGATGCCGAGCCGCTGTCGACTAGGTCAACGTGGCTTTAGAGTATAGATAAATGGGGCAACTTGAGAAAATTGAAAATATTATGGATCACACTCAATCGATCCATACAATTTATACTTAATGATACAATAATTATACTCACTTGATCGCAATATTACCAACACGGCCAGTTGGCGCATCCGCATAATTCACAAGGAATTTACGCAGTATTTCAGGTGAACATGAGAAATTAGATTCGCCGTCATCTATGGGAAAACTGTATTTATTGCAAAAAAATTTCCATTTTTCCTCGGACAATTTATATCATGAACAGTCTGATATTTTTCCAGTTGCTTTACTTTGGCTTGAAAAATTTGTTAACTCTTGCTTCTGTCTGTCAGTTTTATTGGTACCTACCGAATTCACGCTAAATTTTCTTGACATAATTTAATCTTAAAAGCCAAGCACACAGAACGAAGTCATGGTTTTTATCTTGATCTCGAATGACCCGCAACCCATTAACATCTTTCTACGTTGGATAAATTACCGTGGCAATTAATACCTTCGTGCACTGTGTAGGCAAACGGTTTGCAATGGCTCAAAAGAGATTTGACTGCAATGCGCTATTGATTAATCAGACCCCTATAAATCATCGATGATTCATCGATGACAGCCACCTAAACTCGCTACCCTCCCGATTTTTTGATGTTTTATTGTCGATGTATGGCAGATCTGGCCACCTACAGTTACGCCACCTATAAACTGCTATTGCCGCCTATAATCATTGGTGCACCACCCTTAATTTTTATTTGGGATCTACCACGTTACAGCGGCACCCCACCTTCGAGCTGATTAGTGTTAAAGTCACCTGCTCATCGTATACATGCGTCACTGCCATCATCTATCGTTTTGAATAGGCTCATTTGAAGAGTGAATTTTTGCTGAACTTTGTGATGTTTTCACCAGACTTTTGAATTTCACCGATGATGTCTTTATCACCGGCGATTTAAACGGTTGACTGGATCGCTTCGACTACCCATGGGCGTTTCAGCTGAACAACCTGCTGTCCATCTTCGGCAAGGTTTGTCTCGTGACCGTGACGCGGCATCGACAACGATATCTTGCTTGAGAAACTGCAGTCATCTCGACAGTGTCTGCCTGACTCATGATCGGCGCTACTTATAAACGATCTGAAGCAATTTTACTACATCGAGATGACCCGCGCATTCGAGGACTTCAGTCCTGCAGGAACAGGTAGATGTATTGTGGGCCTTAAAGCGAAGGGTTCGATTGCTCCAGCGGACTATTTACCTTGGGAGCATATTTGGCAAATCTGCTACTCCGGCGGCCACTTGACGAGATGCGCTGCGCCATCATGTTGACCCCTGCCGTTCTAAGAAGAACTAGATTTGGCTAAAAAAAATCGACGCACAGCATATGACCCTCCAGCAATGTGACGTTCGCTGGATACACAATAACTGAAAAGATCATTTCGATGCTCCGGTTACTCTCAGCGGGAAGAATTTCATGCGATTTCAAAACAAAAATTTTGGGGTGCGCGCCTCGTCAGCCGATACTCCGTCGCTAACATTAACGCAGTGCTTGTTCGACGGAGTAATAGCTGCCTAAAAAGCAGTGTACGAGCGATCTATTGCCGTCGTAAATCAAAGGAAATTTTCATCTTAGCACCCTTTCTAGTCAAATTCATGGACCGCTGCATCACCGACGGTATTGTTTCGGCAAACTTCAAATCGAAGAACATTACGACTCTAATAAATAAACGCACCGTGACTCTCAGACCCAAGTATTATTCAGCAATCTCCAACCAAATCTTGTCGAAACTCCTCGAACGCCTTGTGGCTCGTCAACTGAATGAAAATCTTCAGCGATACAGCCGCATGTCGAAAATACAGTCTGCATAACGTGGCCGCCAATCAACGAAGTCTGCTAAAGGTGCTTCTTTGAAACATTATCCGAACAGTCAATCGCAGCGACATCGCGGCACTGGCTTTGCTTGACCTGTCGGCCGCATGTGACACGGTCGATCACGAGACCTCGCTGAATCGACTAGGCCTGCAAGGAACAGAGTTGCGCTGGTTCGATTCATACTCCAGGATGCGGATACTCTTCTTTTACCTAATCGTCGGTCATATGCGGCTTACCACAGAGCTTGGTCTTCGGTCCGATCCTCTTTTTATTATTTATTGTCAACGAATTGTTGCACATAATTAATTCGCATATTGCGAATCTGCATATGTTCTCCGACGACACCTAAATTTAGTACGACTACAGTGCACTGGCGGACGCTGCGGTTTGTAGAACCAGGTGCATGTATTCATGGACGCCGTATCAGCTCGGCATCAAAAGTCTAGTTATCGTATCGTTTCAGTTCGGCATCAAAAGGTCTATTTAATTCTTTTGTGACTGCTTGGCGCCAGCATCAGCTTCCGGCCGAATTCATTTACGGGGCAATGAGTTTGTCGGTGCCTTACGTTCACAGGCCTGGCATTCAGCTGGACTCAAAATTGTCATGGAAATATCACATTGCCAAAGTCACCACAGCTTGTTTTGGATCTCTGCGACAAATTCGTGGCGTTAGGAGCCGCTGCGTCTCGATTCCCTCGTTGTGGCGCTTGCCCTGTATATTTAGGACTACAGCAATTTCACCCTCTGTACCTCTGACAATAGCAACCAATTAACTGCAATCCGTAATGAACGCCACCGAGACGCCAATATTACGCGTTATTTAGTTATCTGGCTGCAAATCCAGCAACCAAAGCCTTCATTGTTGGGCACTCCCTAACTCGGGGACAGTTTGCAGAAAGTTTCGGATCTCTCTTCAAGAAGGAGACCCCATCGTACTATTTACAGTTCTACACGTCTTTCCACGTCGCGACAGACTTTTCCGGTCGTCACTGCCAGAAACTGGAAGTCTGTCAGCTGATGTAGCATCGGCTTTTTCGGTGCCGATGTTTCATCGTATCGTCGTCTAAAGAACGAACTATGTCATAGAGCCTGCGATTGTTGTACAATAAAATGTATTGTACAACAATCGCAGTTTCCCAAACTTTTGCAGGCGGGCGCCCCCTTGGCTCCCCAGTGAATTCCTAGCGCCCTCCAGATTTTGAACATTTTCAAAAATTTACACTATAGAGACGTAGGAGATGTTACTAAAACCAAGATCTGGGTGAAAAAAAAAACCATCGCTGGGAGTCGTGTGATGCACGTGTTGTGTAAATATCGTCAAACAAATGTTCGAACTTCTGACATCGATTTCGGACTTCGACACCCCCCCCCCCAGACCTTTCCACCGCCCACTTTGGGAATCACCATGGTTGAACTAGTATAAGGTTGACCCATGAGAAGCTCATTTTCGAGGATGGAGCTAAATGTTTGCATGTGGCGTCACTGATCTCAGTGACGTCACGGGCATTAACCAATCACCGAAATGCGATCAACCGGTCAACCAATCCGTTGTGGCAATGACGGGATTGTTTACGTTTCTCGATCTCATATACATAACAAGAAACCTGAACTGAAAGACGGAAATCCTCGTGGGTCAATCTTACATAGTTCAAACATGGGCGGTGGTGCTTGTAATTGGAATATTTTAAATCTCGTTCTTCTGATCACTGCTCATAGTCTCCTCTTACCTCATAAGGTAACAGGAGACTTATAGCTATCCCTCGAGAGTGATTTGCCCCAAGTGGCTTCCGGTGCAATTCAGAGCACTATAATACATCGAATTTTAATCAACTTCAATGTATGATGTAAAATTTGTTCCATTGCAATGTTTTCATGAGCAGGCAGAATTGCAACCCCGCCGCGCTAGCAAGTAACCTCCTGACATACGCTGCTTGTGATACTTTTAAAAAACTTTTTGCTTCTGGAAAATATTAAATGTAAATTAGCGGACGAATAATTAATCTTGTGTATGGTATTATCATAATACGAATTCAATGCGAACACTATCAACACACTGAAATTAAGAGAAAATCTTGCATCTGTTTAAGTGTCAAGCGAACTGAGATGGGAGCAGCTATAGGCGTGGTTCGAGCCTCGTCCAACTGTGCATGGGCATTCTACAATAACGTATACATGGTTGAACATATACAATAGTAGTTCAACCATGTAACGTATAGTTGTCACTTTTGGCACTTACAACGTAGCAGTGGACGCGTTGTCCTGAACGAAAGCCAAGTATCATTCAAGTTACATAAGGGATATCAGTCTTTAACAGAAGGTTTCTATAAGTGAACATATCTTGCTCCGTGGAAATTTCTTTCTGATTCCATCTGTACAATTATAATTACCATCGTCATCGAAAACGACTATGCTTGGCCCTCCGGATGCTTCGCTCTTCGCCAGGAGCTCAAGGCGTTCGTCTTCGTTGGGCTGATTTTATCCCCTGGAACTTCGTTTACTTCATTTTTCTTCTTCTCCTAAACCACGATTGCTTTGTAGTCCTGCGTAGATGTTGCGACAAATCTTCAAGCTGTGGCTTTTCTTCTGGTTCGAGTTCTTCCTTCACACTCTTTTTCCCTTCATCGCTTTTCTTCTCTTCTTCATAAATTCGGGGTCGGATTGCATTATGAAGTTCACAGTTTGACCAGCTGTTATGATTTCTACTGCGAATACCGATCGATAGTTTTGAATGAATTGATAATATATTTTTTTACGAGTACTGTAAAAATGGGACACTGAAACGAAATCCTTGGTGCTTTCATCTCTTTTATTTCTGAAGAACTTTATACTGTTTCAAGGCATGAATGTCTTTGTTAAAATTTCGGATAGAATTAAAACTGGAGCTTCAATTGAACTTTCAACTTGTTACTATCAATGCACACATGAAATTTGATAAAACCGAATCTTATAGAAGCTTATCACAAATAAAAAAAATTTAAAAAATTTTCAACATGACCCAACGAAATGTTGGCACATCTTAAGAAACTGGGCGCAAATTAGCAAATTTACGAATAGAGGTCTCGATTATTTTCTGGATTCAATCAACACTTTATTTATGGTGCGGCACTAAATTGATGGAGGCCGTCGTCGTAAAATATTGAATAAGTAAGATTTAACACGTGATCCACAATTTATACTCTGAAAAGAGGTGCGCAAAACTCGTGTTCATGAAAATATTCCTTGATCAGTAATTTTGCTTTTTATCATCTAGCACTTTTCGAATGCGAATCAAATAAATTCATTTAGCTTTGAATTGATTATCCTTGACAATAATTAACATTCATCATTGAATGATTGTAATAGATTTTTATTCTGTTAAATGATGTGAGAAAGTAAATTTTATATAGTGTATATATAGTGAAAGAACACATCATATATGGGAACGCCACCGGAAATATTTTGTGACATTATCCTATTATCCTAAATATATCCTATTAATTATTGACGAAATGGGACTAGATATAATCTTCCTGTGATATTAAACTATGTTTTGACAATTTTATTTCCGACAAGCAAGATTCCAAGATTCGGAAACACGAAATTAATGTCGCATGTGCAATTCGTACAGTGACATACATGCGACGTAAGTTTCGTGTTCCCGAACCGAAAATATACGATTCTCCCATTATTCCATGACCGTAGTAACTAGCGTAACAGTTGAATAATTTCGACTTGTTCAGTCGTTATCATTTAGGAGGGAATTGCCGAGTAGATATATTCTAATTGCACGTGCATGCCATTTCCATTCAAAGCGTGAAATTTTAATCATCGATATTCTATACCGTTGCGAAATTTTCTGTAAACTTGGTGCAACTTTTACGAAGAAACTGGCGATTACATTAAAAAAATTTGGAACTTGAGTGATAATAATTTGATCTCATTCACTAGATTCTCAGTCGCATGATCAGTCCTGATACTTGTAGCACAACAGCTTTTGCTTTGACCCACTGCCGCAGTCGAGTCGTCGCAGAGTGAGTCCGTTCTGAGGGCTGATTTTGTGACAAATTTGGCCATTGAAGGAGCTGCTGTCGGAGAAGAAGAGGTTCAGGGGATGATAGGTGTCAACTCCGTGTTCAACATCCAACCAACGCACTCGATATGCTGTACCGTTCACCTTCTTGCCGACCAGAGGGATGAAGAAACCGCCCTGGTCATCCACCTCTGTCATTGTATGACAAGCTTAAGTGATCCAGTAGATGAACATATAATGAACAATTTATACTCACTAATTAATATTGTTAGCAAATAATTCTACCAAAACAAATCTCCACGAACCTGCCATGATGTTCTTCTTGATGTATTCGATGTCCTGGATGGTAGAGATGATCCCTAATTTTCCTCCTTTGCTGGAGCAGAGGTCGCTGAAGCCGCTCGGTGTGAAGTCTTTGTTATCGCTCCAGAAGAACAACTTGGGCTTCCCTTAGTAAATATATTGTTAAATGTGTAATTCATTTCCGGATTGTATTGATGTACACAATGTTACTGAGTCTTTACCATCGCTCCAAAAGTACCACTTGGGCATCCCTTAGTAAATAGATTGTTAAATGTGCGATTCATTTCAGGATTGTATTGATGAACACAATGTTACTAACAAATTGAAATGGAAACAGTGAGAGGATTTGTATATTGGTTTGCACTAATACGCTCTTTCTCAGGGCCATACTTTGTCAAAATGACCAATAATTAACGTTGAACTTTAACTCTGGCATGGGTTATCAAAGGAAAAAAAATTTTAGCCGAAAGCGGCTATAGGTGACCCGGGTGGTTGAGAACATTCAAGTTGGAGCAGCGAGCTGTGGTTTCAAAGTGCGTGCAATTAGCTCTGCAAATTTTTGCTATTTTTAGTCAGTCAAATGCATATTAGGTTTTTCAAACGTATAGTCACAACCACTATTCCCATTACCATCACTATTTACTTATTTTATTTACTCCCATCACTATCACTTACTTAGATTACAATCACTATGGCAATAAATTTAAAATGCAGCGAATTGTTGTTCTTGCCGGCAAGTGTTAATTGAGTGACATCATTGGAACGAGATTGACTATTAAGCTTCGATATAAAGTTCAATATATAGGAACATCTTCAATATTGTAATCTGCACGCAAACGATCGTGAGGTCGTCAAACTTCTCTTCATTATTCCATTATAACCGAAAAAGTTGCAATTATATATGCGTGAGAACAGCTTGAATTACTCACTGTCTTTTAAACTAACTAATTAATTACTAATAATTAGTAATTAATTACTAATTACTAATAATGAAAAGATCACCATGTCAAGCGAGTGCTAACTACCGTGCGAATCGTAAGCTAATCAACCGTAAGAATCAAATTTTAATCTCGCGCCTTTGAATGTTGAAGTAATAGTCGGATATTCTACGATTAAGATTCACAGGTTTTGATTATGTTATCTTTACGCTCAGTCCTTGTGTCCTCAAGTTTTAATGTGCGCTCGTTATGTCTCTCTTGTGCTCTTATCCTGATTCTCTTACACTTTCATTAGGACTCTTTTGCACTCTCATAAAGACTATTTTGAATTCTCATTGAGACTTTGTCGTGTTCTCAAAATTATTCTTTTTGCATTCGCATTAAGACTAACTCGCACTCTCAACATTACTCTTTTGACCTCTCATTAAGACTCTCTCTTGTAAATCCTTGCAAAGGATCTCGCGCCTCTCACTTTCTCTTTACTCGTATTTTCTGTGAAACAAGAACACACTCACTACAATATATTGCAAACTACCAGGCTTGAATCAACGTTAATTGAACGTTTAGACTCTGAATATGGTCAATTCAACTTTACCTCAAGGTTATTCGCATGTAAGGAACGATCTCGCTGTCACCAAGGCGAATAACGTTGATTAAAATTGATTTAATTGCAATCACGTTTATTCAACGTTATTTCAAGGACAGATAATCGGTGGGTGAGACCCACTTTCTTTGATGAAGGCGACGGAGTCTGAATGAGGGGAGATGGTGCGGTGAGCCTCGGCGACGCGGCTGACCCTGCACTCGAACTCCCCTCGTTTGTCCGAGGGCGTGGCGGATGACGCGGAACATCCCTCATCAAACACGCAGAGAGTGCGGCAAGATCCTGCAGTTGAAATGAGACGATGTCTGTGTCTGGAATTTTTTCATGATATATTTTTAGCGCATTTTCTCATTTATGGAAAACAAGGCGCTACTGTGCTCGTCAAGTCCGTCCGTCCGTCTGTCTGTCCGTGACTTCCCAGGCGGACGAGAAAATGCGCTCTTTGTCACTCACTGCGCTCTTTGTCACTCACATGGTACTGATAAATTTTTTCGTGATTCAACTGCCGAGTTTGAATCAATGAATTTTTGGGTTCAGTTACTGAAATCGAATCGAGCACGATTTTTTATCGATGATAAAATTTTTGAAACCGTTTATAGAATAAATATCAGTTAATAATATGTTAATATGACATATACAGAGACATTTTATTCTTTGCGAAGCTTTAATGCCTGCATTTGGTTATTCTGTACATTTTAAGATATTTACCATTCATATACTCGTTAAGAATCAAGGACATAGAAATGGGCCGTGAAAAATATAATTGCCAGCCAGCGGAGGGTCATACTCATTTTATCCGTTTTTAATACACAAGATACCATACATTAAAAATGACTGCCAACTTTAAGGTAATTAGAAGAAATCAACTTAGGGACGCCAACAGAGGAAACGCAAAGAAAAATTATAAGAAGTCTATGTATTTAGATAAATCGAGACTTCATATAGTCGAGTGAGAAAGAAGTTGATTGAATTCAAATTATCCACAGTTACGCTAGCAAGGTTGACGTACTAGGAGAAGAAACAGGCGAGGTTTCATTGGGGTAAGCGATCCTGTAGTCGTAGTAGGAGAGGAGGTCGTAGCGATGCGACCACACACCTACCACAGATGCTGGTAGCCAACTGACCAGCAGGCACCACGCAACTACTTCGGCCGTCCCCATCACGTGCACTGCAAATGTTATTCCGTTATATAACATTTATATGCGTGACAAATGCGATCTACGATAAATTTCTATGCTCGAGTAACGATAGGTAAAATATTCACCCATCCTAACAAATATGAGAACCGCTTGACTTGACGCTACTTAGGGGGGGTTTCTTCATTTTTCAACACTTCTGGGCCGAAACTTCGGACAATTTTTGGCCAGAAATTTCCGACCCAAACATTTTGCGCGAGTGTCTGCATAACTCCGCCTCCGCAAATAAATTGCTTGAGTTATGTTCAGTTCAATCAATCAATTCAGTTGCACGATCAATTCAGTTTCAATCAGTTGCACGAAACGAAATACCTGTCGGAGACCACCACTGCCGTGCTCGAATGGATTGTCATGATCCCTTCCCTCGAGAACGTATCTTCCAACAATTCTGGACCAAGCCACCAGACAGATTACATCCATTGAACCTGATCAATGAGCCCAAAGGAAAACAGCCTGCTGAAGCATGGCCTAACATCGTCTGCCTTTACAGATTTATGATGTCCATCACCAACCCGTCCGTGTCTCGCCTATGCATTGAATCAGCCCACAGTCGAACGCCCACTTGTCGAATTACGATGGATTTTGGAACTGAACTAAACCATCTGAAACCTAACCGCAGAAGCTGTAAGCTAAAAAGATGCGTAATTTAACGATTCCATTAAGTCATATTCGATCCGCGGTATGGTGGTGCAAGGCAGGTTTCTTACAGTTTCCACGACGAGCTATAGGTTATACACTGGTTGCAATCGAGCTATAGCCAGGGTGATGTAATGATGTAATTTTAATTTATAAAGTGATGTTTCGATGTAATTTTCAGTGTAATTTGCTCCCGTATATGGTGGTGTAAAGCACATATTTAAAACAAGATGGCATGGGTTAGGTTACTGACGGTAGGCTCCGCGGGATTGGTGACCTTACGGGAATATGCTAGGCGTTCTGTTCGATTCAGGGCTGATTTGTGCAATCCCCATAAAACGCGCATTTGGGGTTATAATTAGAAACGAACCAACGTAAAGAAATTATGACTACGCTCCGAATCTATGTTTTCTCTTCCGATAATTGAGAACGATTTAGGAAAAACGGTTTCATTGTCAATTGTTGTGATTTCACATCTTCTCAGAAATCGAATTATCATTCGAATACTGGCTGCCCCGCTAATTACAGAACGAAACAACACAAGCCAAAGTCGCGAGTATCTTTGAATTAGTTCAATTGATATAAAAAAACTAAGGATTCTGGAGTGATATCCCAACACGAAATTCGTAAAACAACTCATCGTTAATTTAATTACGATTAAATTATAATTAATACAATTTAATTACAATTAAATTCATAACCATATATCGTCACCGTATCTACCGTCAATGACACAAAGTCGCCACTCAGCAGAAACTGCATATACTTCGCCGCTCGTCACTAAAAATCGTTTAATAATGGTCAGAAGTAGGTTAACTACGATTTTTAGGGTATGATGATCACATGGTGACTAAAATGCTGTTTTTATGGCGCTAGAAAGATTTAGCTCAGTTTCGTTCATAAAAATGAACATTTCTAAAGAGGGCCTGCGACTTTAGAGTGACGTGGAAATGTAATCGTCAATGATGGTGGGAAAGCCGACACGACGTCTCACCTGCAAAGTTCGCCCGCTAGTGACCCTGGCAAGACTACCTTGGCCATGATCGGTCTTGGCTTTTCAATTATACATTTCCACTTATCGGCGCGCGCGTAGCACGGCAGGGATTTTAGTCATCATGGTAAAGCGTCGTACATCGCAGTTTTGCCAAGCATTATTGAGTTGTACGACGATGTGTTAATTTAAATATGAGCTGAAAACATCGAAAAACAAAGACAACAAATTCCCATATCACAGGCAAGCTCTCGGAGTTTTAACCACAAACGAATTATAATTAAAGCAAATTCAACATGCCACTGTTTATGGAGTTCAACACGTATTCATGGTAAGAAAAATTGTTTCAGTACATAACATCAATGAAGCGTGTCGCGAGCAAACATTAAGGTGTTTTGAAAGACTGATGCTCCAGACTCATCAGCTTAGTTATTAGATATGCATTCGCATAGCCCTGACGTACGATCATCAGCAGCACGAATTCTGGAATGCAAAACTCAATGTTCATTCCTGATGGTCTTTGTGAACCTGACCTGATCAAAATTTCTGTCTCATGCCAAAGCTAAGTAATAAATAATAAAAAGAAAAATTTGAATTTAGAAATGAACACAAATTTGTTAGCAGTTTGACGTCCTGCAGCTTTCTGACGATGAATTCCGAACATCACTAAATTAATCCGGACTCATAGCCTAATTAAACCTGACTGCAAACATTTCCTTAGCACCCAGAATTTTGGGTGAAATTTCTCCCGTATCTTCATTTTACGATGGAACTCCCTCCTCACATGACAAACTATGCATTTGTTTGATATACTACCTGACTCGTACAGAACTTGCTACCTAATTTGCTGGCATTAATCCAATTGGTCTGATTCAAATATTCCAATCATTTTTCGTGACTACGGAAAATGATGAGCTATCGTTGAGATGACTGAGTACTGGATCGTTTTTCTTTTGAATAATCGTTTTAGCCTCGAGAGTCAAAAGTGGCATTGTCTATCATCCGCAGGCTGTATCACGAAGAGACGTGGATTGCAGATTGGACTGCGAATTTACAAGTGCAAACATTTGGAAAGTATTTGCGTTATATCAGCGCTAGCAATTTGCTGATGAAGAACAAGCTTGTGCTTAATTTCCGCGAATGATAGATAGCAAATGAGGCCATAATTTCTTGGGTGATAGCTCAAAGCGTAATATCTTGAATGATAATAATGGAGAGCGTTACAATTGTTGAATGACAACTGAGCAAGTTATTTCCGAAATGATAACAACTGAGAGCTTCATTCCCAGAATGAAAACAATTGAATTGAAACTTCATGTGTGACATTTATGTAGAGATAATCTAAGCTTTTGATGAATGGAATGTATAAGAAATTCGTGCATATAATATAGATTCCATCGACGCCTCCACTTGTCCCGTAATCATCAGTAATGAACAGTGTTACAGTGTTATACTTATCTGGAGTATAAGTCATATAATTAGTTATGAGTCAACTAATATAATTAGTGCAGATACTTTGATATGTTCAAATATATCTGATACTAAGCCAGTGAACTGAAACACGCTTTTGTTAGAGAAAGGAACCCCTCTGAGGTTTTCTTATTACTATATCATGATATTTGAGAAAGCTTTGATACTTGGGAAATTTCTTCACAACATATATGGCTGTATCGACGGAACTTGAAACATCAGAAATGCAAATAGATAAAATATCACCATATTCTGCTCACACTGCAACTTGGTATGAAAACAGCCTAATTTAGTTCAAACTCAGAAAGTCCTTTAGAAAAAACGCGAATTTGCGTTCCGATAGCGGGCCAAACAATTGGCATTAACGGCATAAAAGCACGTCGACCTTCAAAATACAATAGAGCAAGACAATTGTTCACAAATTACCTGGTTCTGAACCATTACTTAGTTTAGATGGATACTTTCTCGGGATTGTAGTCATCACCATTTATCAATCGTGCGAGCGGCAATCATATACAGCAATCCCTGAATTGGATTTTAGCAATCACAACTGACTTGTAGTAATTACTGTCTTTGGAGTGACCGAACGCCGAGATTAGCAAAATCACGCCGACACGGCAACCAGAAAAGCTGAAATACCGTGACAGCTCATATAGCACGTTATATTAGGTATCGAACACTACGGCTGCGGTCGTTAATACGAGGCAAAGTAAATTGACCTCTGGTAAAGGCAGTACAGCCAGAAATATCAAGCTGAATATCTAGGAGTGACACGAACATCTAAATGCATTCCGCCACAGCCAGGAAATTCATAAGAAGAAAATAGAAGAAGCAAGATTCTGTAGACAAAACGTAGTTTAATTGTCTACTTTGACGCCTACCCCATGCGGAGAAAAGCTATTATAAATTTGAATACGTATTCTTTTCTAACAATTTTCGCTAGTTTATACACTCAAGATCCCTTAATTATTTTGAGAGTGAGTCAATATGTAACCTACTGCAGTGTGTCAAGAAGCTCACTAGTCACTAGAATGCAACGATTTAGATGATCTTTGGACTCACACGTCCGAGTCTCACTGCCTCACTTTATTCCGTGTGTAAGAAAAAGTAAATGTCTTGAAATAGCCTACATGGATCTCTAACTAAAACCTAGATAATTTAAAATGTTCACATTCGCACAAACGCTTCACTTTCTCTCTTCTGCTGGCAAGAACATTTTTTGGATTTACGAGCTTTTCTATTTGATTGGAATCGCAATTCAAGCTATCAAGGACGACTGCATGACGTGTGGTGTGGTTCTACTGTAAAAAGGACAGGAAACACATGGCGTTTAGTGCTCAAATTATAAATAAAATATAACTCAGTACTCACTGCAGTGAGTGACAGAAAGTGCATTTTCTCGTCGACGAAAACATGAAGTAACGAACGGACAGACAGACGGACAGACAGACGGACGGACAGACGGACATGGTGAGAACAATAGTGCATTTTTTTCATAAATGAGAAAATGTGCTAAAAATAACTTGCTACTATAATTCATATCCCAACGCAACTATTAAATAAATAAACGGGTTTGCAGAGCTAAACAAAAGTTCGAGTGTAGGATGACCCCTGGTTGAACGGTATTAGTTCATCCATGGGATGCCCTATATACTTCAGTTTAACAAATGCTCGACTTGAATATTGTTAAGGAGTAATGTTGGAATATGAGGTAGTTACTATATATTCTTACATTCTTAGGTTTCTAGACACATCCTTGAAATCAGAATCATTTCTAGGGAAACTTACTTACAAGATCCGATATATAAATCCAAAGGCCAACGAATAGAATCCTGTGGAATGAAAACTCACAATGTCATGTAAATGGAAATAATAT